TTTGCTGATTGAATATTCTGTCGACGTTGAATTTGAGCTGTGGACTCTTCGGTTTCTAGGTACATACCTCACAACCATAATAGTAATAAATAACTGAAATTTCCAAGAAAGAGAGCACATCAGTGCTGTTTGAGTTAACTGCAGAATTTGATTGCTTGAGAAATGTATGTACACTCAGAAGAATTAATAGGCGCTAATACGGTTCTGAACCTCTAGAATTAGTCCCATCATTTACGGCCTTTAATCGAATACACTAATGATACTAATTAACATGATCCTACGTACGTGTTATAATTACATGTGAATTGAGACATGGCGAATGCAGTTAAAGTGAAATGCTTATGTTTCTTCGAACGGGTTATTGTGAAGAAGCAGTTGATTAGTTAAGAAACGAAGATTAATAAGGATTCAGAATAAGTTACAAAGATGAGATAACATTGATTCAATTAAAGTTTCACACGTAATCGCTTCTTCGATCAGAGGCGACACACGTGGGTAAAAGGACTAAAATTGTTTTGTACCGACACGAGTGATCATCAACTCAATATGTGTAACATAATGTGACATCATACAGTCGATGGCGTATCCATTGGTGGGATTAAGACAACAAACCTGACCACATCAAAGAGCAGAGCACAATCTTTGGGTTGAGTTGGTTGGGTCCACAAAAATCAAAATATTGATCGATACCGGAAAGGAGAAAAATAACGCGTGTCTGATGCAACCAATATACTTCAGAGCACCGATCTCTAATAAAACTTATATACGCTTATCGATTCATCGACCAATCATATCACACACGAGAGAGTTATTGCTCTTAAAGATCGATCAAATTCACCATAACTTTACCAAACAACCGATTTTTTTTCTTAAGTTCTCGATAAAAATGAACTTACAGATTTATCGATTAGTTATCAATCAATCACGATATCTATAATTTTTTAGGTAAAAAACTGCATAATTCTCTTAAAAAAACGTTACTTTGACATCCCAAGTCCACCTCCCAAATATTTTCCCAAAACCTCAAAACGCAAATTAGGAAATAAAGTTTTAATTGATATTATTCTCCCACGAGGAGTTACCAAGGAATCACGAAATAAAAGGAAAGAAGCCAAGGAATAAAATGACCTGATTTTGGTAAATAATTGAAACAAAATAATCATATTACCAAATAAGCGAAAAAAAATGGACCCAGCCAGAGTCCCACACAAAACATTACCAGTACTCGAAATCCCCATTTTGCCCTCTCCTCTTTCCACAAATCCCTAAACCCTCCACTTCCTTACGTATATAAATAAATCCCCTTCTCCTCCATTCTCCTTCCCCCTTCCCTTCCATTTCCTTCCTTCACTTTCTCCTCCGTTGTCTGGATTCCCTTTCTCTCGCGAAATTCAGCTTCCGCGCTCTTTTGCTTCGTAGCTGTCCAGCTAGCTGCGGCGGCGCTGCTCTCTCTCTCTCTCACTCTCACTCCGATCATCGTTCTCTGATCTCCTCCGCTCTCGATCAGCCAATCGCGGGAACCGTCGGGTGAGTTCTTCGTCCTTCTCCGTTTTCTTTTCTCCACTCTCATTGCGCAATTCTCTTCAATTTCGATTTGATTCACTGCATGCTCGAATCGATGCCTGTCTAATTCGGATGCCGGCGATAGCCGGAGGTTCATTTTTTTCGTTCGCGGCTGCGGGAATTCAAACTCCGGCCACCGCTCGAGCAGGGCGTCACGATTAGCTAATTATTTCTTTTTTTATTTTCGTTTATTATTTTTCCTGGAATTTAAATTTCTGTGCCATTTCCGCGAGTGGTAGAGTAGTAAAGTCCGCCGAGAAACCGTGCGAATAAAACGAAAAATCAGTTATGGTTCGTTCCTTGTTGTTTTTTCCTCCTAGGAGATCCTTTCCATGAAGGAGATTCACCACGCGTGCTCCGCGCGCGTGAGGATCCACCTCTGGTCTCAGCAATGGAGGAGTTGGCTCCACGCGCTCTCGTGCTAGTTTTAAGCTACTTATTACGTTATTTTTCTCAGAAGTTAATATTATTTATTACTCGCTGAGCGGTTTTTACTTTTTACTTTCGAAACGGGAGTTACGACGACGATTTACTACCGTCGTCCACGTGTCGGCGGGGACGGGCCCATGAGTTGACTGGGCCTGTCATTGTTTTCAGGCCCAACCGACACTTGGGGAGAGTGGAACAAGTAGTTAAAAGTCGTTTCGTTGGCGTTATAGTAAGAGAACCCGGGAGACCAGCTGCCTTTTCCATTTCCTCAGTCTTGATCCAATGGCGGAGAACTGATGGAAATGGCCAGATGGGGAGGAGTTGAATGCCACGTGGACGGCTGAGATTCTGGGTGGGTCCACCGACCAAGTGACCGTTTCGGTTAAATTAGCCAAGGAAAAAAAAGTAGGGTTGTTTTTTTTCGTTGGGATGCTTTGCCTTTGATGAAGATGGTGATGGGAATTGGGAGGGAGGTGTCTTTGTAAAGGAAAGACAAAGAACCCAATTTGCAAAAACTTTTCTTTGCATAGAAACGGTTAATAAACGTAAGGCCCTCTTTTGATTTTACTTATGTGAATCGAAACTTAGCAATACAGTTGGTTAAATTCGTGTAATTTTTATGCGTTAAGATAACGGATTGAGTAACTTTGTTATCTCGATTAGTTGTTTAATCATTATCGTAGATTAACCGTAACAACATTATCAATAACAACAAGAAAAGAATGCATTTAATCAAAAGGTTGAATGAAATACGTATAAAATAATGTGCTTAAGGAGACTCATTTTGATGTTTAATAATGATTTAAGGGATGTACCAATATCATGTGGTTGTTTGTTTAATGGACTTGTAGACAATAGACAGCCATAAGTTTCGGTTTTGTTTTATTAATTAGTGATTGTTTTATTAGTACTGTTATTATATTAGTATAGGCAGCAGTTGCGGTTGGTTTATGTGTTCAATTACGATTAATTTATTGATTAATTTGGTGAGAACACGTAGAAATTTGGGCCGGATCAGCTAGCTGGGCAACACGAAGCCCGATTGAGAAAAAGTGTCACCACCTAAGACATGCATTGGCTGTCTTTTTTTAAATAATTAAATCTTCGAATCAAACCTAACTAAATATTATAGTAATCTGTGTCACCTTATAGTCACAAACTCAATTATCAATAATTCTTTTGTTCTTTTTAATAACAACAATATTGGTTAAACAATAATACGCCTTTCTCCCACGGTGTGCTGTTATTGGTGAGAAGGATCAGTAATTTAATCAAGTGTAAATCATCCACCAAGTTGGAAGCTCCCTGACATGAAAGTTTAAACCTTTTTTTTTCCTTCCTTTCTTTCATGGTTCGGTAACAAAATTGACATTTCCCCGTCGTCCATTGTGTCTGCTTGTGAGCAACACAGTCACCACCTTTAATATGTTGGGTTTTTTTTTTCTTAACGATAATTTAGTGTCCGAATCAAGAAGGAGAAGAATAAACCACCCAAACACCCAACTAAAAAGTAATTTTCACGGGTTTGTCTTTTTGATCGCCGATTCATAATCCAATCCTGATGATGAGGATTAAAGGCTTTTCCAATATAACCTTTGTTGGTTAAGGATTATGTGGAAGTTTGTGTTGGAGAGGGACGTGGAAAGCTTTAAAAGTCTTCAACTTTTTTTTGGCGATGGTGTGCTGTTTGTCTTCCGTTTTGTTGCCGGTCCTAATTCATTAGTTTTCGATCTCTACTCCCCCACTTTACCTTCCTTCTGCCCTTTTTATCCTCTGTGAAAAAGAAAGTTCGTTTTGACAGTTATATGATGATAAGATAAGCTAGTGTTTGGTTTTGGATAAAGTGAACTAATTTTTTCGTGAAATTCTGTCACATCCTGTTTTTTTTCAAACTCTCGATTATTAATTTATTATCTAGTCTGATTATCAACAAGAAAGTATTAGTATACAGTAGTTTTAGAATGTTATCTAGGTGTAAAGAAGAGACAAATTAACCAAACAAATATGCTCTGTATATAGTTTCATTCAATTATTGCTGATTGATAATGTTTTGGAACATTTTGAAATACTAAGAACTGTAGCTTGCTCATAAATCACTGTCAATCTGAGTAGACTGATGGATTAAGACCCTACCACAATAACAAACAACCCTTGCACATAATTGGCCTTGCCTATGTTTCTGTAGCATACCCATTTGTTCTTGATGTTTAATTGATTTGATTCTTTCAGGCCAAAGCTGTCTTAGTCATACTGATACACACATATCTGTGTTTTCCTCCCTGTTCCCATCAACTGGTGTATGTTTTTAGTTTATGTGGAGTGGATCAGTAGTGGTGTGGATATTATATATTAGGGTCTGAAAGAAGCCATTTTTTTGAAAATGACCCTTCTCTTGTTTAACTGTCTATCTTCAGTACCAACTACTGTGTAAAGTTTATAAAACACTTGTTGGCCTGTTGCATGATTACATATAGTATAAAATGGATAGGGTGGGAGAAGGAAGGAAAACAGAGATTTGCCACAGGTTCTGCAGATTACCATATCTGCTGATATCTTTTCTCAACCTCGACTCACTGTGAACAGTGTTGGGGACAGAAACAGACAGAATGGATTAGATATAAACATGGGAAAACCAAAAGGAGATGTGTCTTTTCTTTTGGGATATGGCGATAAAGAACACAATAACATTATCCAAACTATATATATAGGATTTGTGTGTTGGGGGGAATGAATTTGGTTTAATTAGCAAATAATGGTGATGGTGGAAACCCCAGCCTGTTTATGCTTTAATGAAGTAATGATTATGGTGCAATGAGCAGTGGGAATTGCGGGTTGGCTTCTTTTGTCGAATTTGTGCTCAGGCGGCGGCTAATAATTGGCATTTTTTTGGGGTGGGATCCTTTATTTTTACAGATTTGTAAGGCAAAGAGCAAGGAGGCGGCAGCCGGCGGTATAGGAATTCCAATCCATATAAAACAACAAAAAAACAAGCCACTTGACAAAGTAAAATGTCCATTTCAGGTATGTGGTGGAACGAACTAAATATTCTCCAATAATGGTGGAAACAGTGGGTGGTTTCGTCGTTGCTCTAGTAGCTGACTCTGTTCTTTTTTATGTAATGTGTTGCTGGGAAATGTAGGTATGTTGAAGAGGAACATCTCCAGGATTAACCAAGCAATGGGACTTCCGCAGCGATCGTCTTCTAACAACAAACCACCGAAACCGGGGCAGCATGGCAACAACAACAGCAGCAGCGATCCGCACCCTGTAAATACGAAAACCGCACCGATTTCTGACCATGTTAGGGTCAAGAGTACAGAAGATGTACAATATAAGTCATGGGTGGTAAGTGTTGCTTTTTTTCTTCTTCCTTTTTTTGTTCACTTTGCCTTCTCATAAACTGAACTGGAAGTCGAGAAGTTTGAATATGCTGACCGCGAACGAACTTCCAGGGGGAGCACCCGTCAGCATTGCACTCGTTTGATCAGATGATGAAGGTGGCAAAAGGGAAGAAGATCGTCGTGTTTTTAGATTACGACGGAACTCTCTCCCCTATTGTAGATGACCCTAACTCTGCCTTCATGTCCGAAGAGGTAAAAAAGGGCCTGGTCACATGGTGAAATAAGAAAATGTCATTACATTCAAATCTGTACTGAAATGAAATTCTGCTTGTGATATAGATGCGTGCTGCTGTACGTGAGGTCGCTAAGTGCTTTCCAACAGCTATAATCAGTGGTAGGAGTAGGGACAAGGTAATCAAAGAGTCTGACCTTTTTTCTCCCCCTTTTGGCTTCGTTTTGACATGTGCTTCTTCATGAAACGATGACTAAGATATATACTGACTGCTCCTTTCCCCTCTGCCTTCTTGAAGGTCAAGGAGTTTGTACAGTTGAGTAATGTATATTATGCTGGGAGCCATGGGATGGACATCATGGCACCTCCAAGGCCAGTCAAGTCTTGCGATGGCAATACCCCAACTGTGGTAATGGACAAGAAGGGAACTGAAGTTCTCTTTCAACCTGCAAAGAGTTTTTTGCCTGCAATCCAGAAGGTAAACAAAGCTAAAAGTAAGTCTAAACTTCTACAAAATGGTTTCAACATTGCTCTGACTAACTACATTTGAATTCGTCACAGATATTGACCGAACTGGAGGAGGAAACAGCAAAGATAAAAGGGGCCATGGTGGAGGATAATCGGTTTTGTGTCTCTGTACATTTTCGGCACGTCAAGGATGAGGTAAAACACCATCACCTACTAGTTAAGAAGCTTAGTGTCCAAAAGCAAAATAGCAGCCTAATAAATTCCAAGGTTTGGTTGTTGGACTTCAGGATTATCAGATCCTGGAGGAGAAAGTCAGGTCTGTGCTGGAGAATTATGCAGGGTTTCACCTGTGCTGGGGTAAAAAGGTAATTAGCAAAACTCTCTCTATTGAGCTAAAGATGTTACTGACCACAAAAGGATCATACTTCTAATGCAGATGCTTCTACACTTTCTATGCACAGGTTATGGAGATACGACCGATGATAGAGTGGGACAAAGGCCATGCTGTGGAGTATTTCCTAGAGACTTTAGGGCTAAGTAACTCCGATGTACTTCCAGTCTACATCGGCGATGACCGGACAGATGAAGATGCTTTCAAGGTATTAATCAATCAAAGTCATTAGAATCTCCAGAACAGAAGAGGTTAACAACCTATACTGTAATTACGCGAATCGGTTGCTAATTGGCTTGTCTTAAAACTACTGCAGGTAATACAACGAAGAGGACAAGGATACCCTATCATCGTAACTTCCATCCCTAAGGACACGAAAGCATCCTACTCCCTAATCGACCCATCCGAAGTTCTGACTTTCCTGTTACGCCTAGCGAGGTGGAGGAAATCCTCGAGTTCAAGTAGATCGCTCAACCAAATCTGGGGTGTAGTCAACTGACACCAAGCAATATAGGCAACAAACAGTCATAGTGGAGATAAAGCTCATACATAGAAAGCAGTAGATAAGCAATCAATCCGAGTTCGGGAACTAAAAGTAACTAGAGAAGTTCCAGCTTGTAGTTTTAGCAAGAAGTCACAGCTGGAACACAGTTTCCAATTCCAGTCCTTCAAATCTCGCCCCGTGTTTTTTTTGGCTGGCGGCTGGGTTTGAATTTGACTGTGGAAGACGACTCTGAACTCTGTTTTCCTTTTCCTCTAATTTCCGTTTTTGATGAATCAAGAACTTTGTGGACTTTGAGAAAAACCCTTGTTTTCAACCTTGGTTGTAAAGTTCCATGTCATCAAATCGTTTTCTCATGATAAGCAAGCTGTTTTGGTTTCCTTTACGATTCAATGCAATGCTATACTACTCTTCTCATATATAGAACAGATGGAAATTCGAAGCAAGCAACATCAATGGATCAAATTCAGTTTGCAGGGAGAATCGGATTACCTTTTCATTTCCTAGTTATTCCACAAGTCCTCACAATTCTTCGACAGGGAAATGAACTGCTAGAGCTTGCAGTTCCGATCTGCATGCTGGTAACAGCGGAAAAACCATCCTCACTTGGCGTTTGGCCGCTGGGAAAAATGCAGGAAAACGCCAGAAGAGTAAACACCAATCAGTCCCGAAAGCAAGAACAATCGGTCGGTCATCCAATTAGAACGCTCTTAGAAAGGAAATCTCAAAAAAACGATCGGAGAAGACAGAACGATCGGCTGCAAACCTGGGTAAAGCAGCTGCCCGCCGGATCAAGAGGATTTCCATCTCTTCCGATCAACTGAAGTCCAGCTTCGCCGGCGAACGGGAGCAGCAGCCAGTAGGAAAAGCTTGAGAGGGATGAGCTAGCGGTTTACATTAAGGACGAGCAATGGATAAGGCCGGCCGGCCGTAGCTCTCGGCTTTCGGCCACGTAGATGGCCGTCGAAGCCCACCGGCCCATCAGGCTAAATGGGCCAAAAAGAAGATGATCTCTGTCCCGGATCCATGGCCCAACTTCACATTGCAAATTTGTGATTTTTGTATGAAAATATACCCCAAACCAAGTAGCATCATAATTCATAAAGGGTGAGCAACAATTTCGTTCATAAACTCGGATTGAGATATAATGACTCGTTGACGTTGATACTAGAATTAGGTACTTGTAGCTCCATTTGCAACTCTTTTCTTTTCCGTCGGGCTTCATCAGGGGGAAAATGGTCTCCTTTCTCAGCGACTCAATGCTTCTTCCTTCTCCTCCTATCAAGAAATTTCGTGCTTGACGGATTTATAACTTATTAAGCTGATATTCGATATGAGATAGCTCGTTCTCTAATTTTCTCTGGTTCCTATTTTGTGTGTCGAAGGGGTTCGCTTGACTGGTCAATAGTGAAATAGGATGTTTCCCGTGAATATCCTTATTGGAGAGTCTAACGATCGCACCATCGAATAATTGAAGATATATTGGTTTCTTTCCAACCAATTCAAGCTGTAACTACTCAACTTTGCATTGGCATCAATATGTATATGTATATGAGTCATCAAGCCATAAGAATTATGTCACCCTACTAGATATTTATAGATCTCTACTGAGCACTTAAGGGGGGGAATGGGGATTGCACCATTTAACCACTACAATCATCATCATGTGTATTATAAAATTTCAATACAAAAAAAAAAAAACACGACATTAACAACTAATTAGTGGGATGCATCCATCCATGGCATTACATTTTACTATTTTTCAGTGTCTTGTACAATGTTCTTTTTCATTTGTGTATTCTCATTCTAACGCGGTTTCTACTAATAAAACAATAGTTTAGCCTAAAAATTGATTGATTTGATTTTGATGTGTTTCTTTTGGTTTAGGGTTTAAGAAAGGTCAAAATCCCCTCTCTCTCTCAATTGGGGGTTGGTGATTCGTCCATCAGAGATTTTGGGGGAAAGCTATAGTGCCCTTCAAATCCAATCAATTTGGAGGAGGCGACGCTTTGCCACAAATGTTTTTTTTGACAAATCAGTTTCATTACTGAAAGGTAATCAAAGTTGGTACAAGCCCAATGGAAAGACAAGCGCAAATTACAAAGAGAATTAAGGAAGCCCACCCCGCAAACCCAACCAAAGTGAGACAGAACTTACAAAAGCCCAACGACACCAATGGCTCGGCCAACAGAAGGCTAGCACCCAAAAAAACCCTAACATAAAATGCAACCAAACTTTGGGAACTGCACCGCCGCTGGAGTCTCCACAAACAACCGACCAGCTGCTGAAGATTGCTGAACGGATCAACAAGAGCCCTCCATCCCAGATGGAAGATGGGAAAAGGTAGCATCCAGAACAACAAAGCAAGAGAAAGCTACTCTGAAACCTCTTCGCTGGGCCATCGCAATCAGTCGAACATCACTTACATGGGCAAGAGAACAAACTTCAAAGCAACAGACGGGAGATGCAGGAACCAGAGAAAGGAGTCTTCGTCTTCAAGATCCACAAACCGCGCCCGAACCGATTCACGAAAGAAGGTCACTGCATCTCCGGATCATCGCGTTGTATTGGATGAAACAAGGAGGTAGACGAAAGGGATGAAGACAAGAGAAGACAGGCAAAGATCATGAAACCCCGCCCCCCTTTGACACCAAGGCAAAAGCACTCTAGATCTGTGAAACAAATCAGAGAATGAAGGCAACCATCTCAATAACGAGAGATTGATGGAAATATTCCACAAAGGGAATTGGAGAAAGCATAAGCCAGAAGAAAAAAGGAAGTCATGCAAGAAAAACGAGAGAATGGGTTGCCGCCGGTCACCAGGAGGTGAGCCGGCAGCCCCCCTGCTGAAATTTCAAAAGAGACGGTAGAGAGAAGGCGGAGCGTTTTCAAAATAGAGAGAGAAGTTTTTTCTCAGTGATGTTTTTGCCACAAATGTTGAGACACGTATTACAACTACAATTTGGCCTTTTATTGTTTCTTCATCATTGTTGGCTTAATTCTCCTTCTTTTCTTTTTTACCTTTATAATTTATCCAAAACAAAATGCTTGATTTGATGATTCAATAATGAGGGTGGTTAAGATTGTTTCACTTTCATGATATTGTGCGATTCATTGGTCTAGAGAGATAGATTGATCAGCCAATCAGTGAGAGGCACACTGGGTGATGAGTTAATTTTCCCAATTTCTAATAAAGAAGGAAGAGGTAATTAATGTGTAAGATTATGATCAATTGTATTACATAAGCCTTCTATGACCTTTTTTTTAATTTATGTTAACTTGATAGCAGACAACTTTGCATGAAGTGCACAAGGACGATAAGGTAAGTATATGAAACGTAAAAATTACACTCTCATTGCAGACAACTTCAACACCAGTGATAGTACCACTAGACCAAGCCCCTTATTCGCATAAATTACACTCTCCTTGCTCCTCTCATTTTACTATACTCACATTTCTAATATCGTCAAACTAATTAATCATTTTGCAATGGAACACTCGTTTCATTGTTACCCCTATCCATAATTAAGTTTTTTTTTATACACTATCGACCGGAGAATGCCTCACTCGTATTCGTCCCTAAAATGTCGAAATCACAAAACCAACAACACTACTGCTAGACCAAACCTTCCCTTACCATACTCCGAAACTTCTCTCTTTGGGGTCGTTTGGTAAGCACGTAATGTAGAATTTATGTATTTGAAGAATTCATGTATATTGTAGGTTGAGTTGTGAGAACTTGTGTAATATTAGAATGCATTGTTTGGCTTGCATGAGTTCATGGTAGAACCCGCATAATTTGGCATGAAATCTCAAATACTTTGGGTAAACCCAAAGCATTTGAGATATCATGGTCACATGAATTCTAGAATTACATGGTGTACCAATATCATGATATCTGTCCAAAAATAAAACAAGAAAACACTGGAATCTCAGATATCATGTAATCTTGAAATCCGTGGGTAGATTACATGCTTACCAAACCACCCCTTTAATGAGAGGAGAGCCAAAGCTCAAAAGGTGGTTCTATCTTTAATTTCATGGGTAGTGGTGGCCACTACCACTTCCTTTTTCAGTCTGGTTAGAAATAACAAAATGGATTCTTTGCCCTACAAAACAAACCTCCCTCCAGTGCGTTAACCATGGGAGTTGGGGACTTGGATTGAAGCAAAGGAAGACAAGTGTCGTCTGGGATTCCACCCTTTTCCTCTCTCGTTCCTCATTGGTCGAAGAACAGAAAATTGCAGAGAGGGCCATTTATCTGTGCAGCCATTGGTTGAATTTGGTCTGCTCTTTCCCAGGCCCTCTTTCTGCTCTCTGGTCTAATATGCTTATGCAGATTGCACTGACCAGACTGGAGTGAATGCTGTTGCAGCAGCAGCAGAAGAAGGATATGACAAAAGTAAAGTTAAAAAAAAAGGAGAGAGAGATAAAAAGCAAAGGCATAAAGGAATAGAGAGGATAGGACCCATCTGACTGCAATCTAAAGTTTTGCTGCTTTCAACTTCCCCCATTTCAGGCCCCTACAGTAACATTTACCAAGAAGCAAAACCCAAATCGATACTAACTTCTTCAATGCTGCTAATATGTTAGGGCTCATTTGGTAGCTCGTGCAATTAACCAGCTCGTCGCAACGATTCGAATGATTGATTGAGAGATAATTCATGTATTGATTTTGATCACTTCCTTACGGGTTGGGACTGTTCTATTGATAGAAATTCGTAACTCATGAGTAGAGTGTTTATCATGCTTTTGGGCGTAAAAAAAAGAGGTAATCAATTTGTTTAGAGTGAAGTTATCGAGTCTGTATTTCATGTTAAGAAAAAAATACAACAAAACAAAGGCAAACATACTTATGAAAATTCTTAGGTGCACTCACAAAATGGAGTGCACCCAATTCTCAAAGTAACATTAATACATCAAATTTTAAATTAAAATTTGTTGCATTAGGCTAAAATGATGATATAACAATAGTCAATGCATTACCCTACGCCATAAGCCTTCAATTTTTAATTCTAACCTTAAACCTCAAACGGTAAACCCTAAACCCACCCTAAATTACTAAACACCAAATCCTTCAAATCAAAGCAAATAATGAATGAACTTTGTGTAAATTCATGTATTTTCTTGTCCATCATATAATAAGTGACGGTTGACATCAATTTGATATGAGTCACCTTCTCAGAATAACAATTATTAAACGAATGCATTCAATGCACTAAAAAATAATAAGTTCATCGAAGACAAAACGCTATATAATTTAACTAATTCATCAACATTACTAATTTTTTTGTAAAATTATTTTGAGTTACCAATTCATGTGTGCATGTACTGACATGTATCGTCGTTTTACAACCATCCCTCAAAGAAACGACTCACTAGTGTCCAAGAAACCCTCCCAAAGGAAAGGCCACTCATTCATTTCTCTCTTCCATTTAAGATTAAAGAACACACTTATTGAAGATTGTCACCATTGTATCCTTTTTGTAGAGACCGAAGAGACAACAAAATGGACCCAAAAAAAAAAAAAAAAAGCAAAGGCCAAGCACGTAACACGTTAGTTTAGGACAACTTGAGGGTCACACATTAGCTAGGGTTTGGTGGCATACAAACAAAGGGGAGAGATAAATGTGTAGTCTTCTGTTGCTCCAGAAAAAATGTCAGTGGTCACACATTTCTTTGCCTAATTAGTGAACTCTCAAACCCAAAGCTTATCCAAATTGTGGAGAATGATTAAAAAAAAAAAACCCCCAAAAAATCTTATCGCAGTTGGATACAATTAGTTATTTGCCCCTTATGCAATTTGCTAGTTTAGGCCAAGCAAAGCAGCTTTTACCCATGAGATGAGATCGATCTAGCTCGTATCCCTTCATAGCACACTTGGCGGGTTTCATATTAGTATACTAATCGTATAATACGA